TAATTGTAAATACTGAGAAGCATAACTTTTTTTGTTAGTATTTCAACGCCACCATCTTCTTTTCTGATGGATGAAGATATTTTTCTGTGCACTAATATAATGACAGTCAGAGAACATTACAGTTGAATACTTACATCAAATCTATATAATATCAAAAATTGTTCTGTGCATTATCTTTCGTAACTGTCGAAGATACAAAGTGCAACCCAGATGTTTTCATTGAGTTCTTGTCAATATCACAGCCCCTTATGCGTTCCTGTCTATTAACATCCATATTTATTAATTATGTTTCTTATTAACAAATTAAACCTATTATAGTTGTACAGAATGAAAGATACGCGTGAATGTTTGCAGCAAGTGTAAATTTTAGGCGACTGAAACAGGAGGATGTTTGGGCCTGGTTTAATTGCGATTTAGTTGTGAATGAAGAGGCTAATGGCTCCCATAAACGATAGAATTTATCGTACGACACGTCGCGTCGGTTAGTCGAGTAAATTCTCCTTTAAATACTTTTGTACAATGTTAAACATAAGAAAACTGTTTCGGGTAGAATGTTCCAATGATTGACTCTATATTTGGCATTTCACACACTTAGCGATAATTTCGAGATAAATTATTCAGGACTGCAGAAAAGTTTTTGCATAGTGCCACTCATAAAATTTATTATTCCGCTATTGTCAATCGAATATTGCCCTTGAACATTTTAACTCGGATAGAATAGCTATCAAGTGTATGTAAAAGTGATGGCCGTTTTTACGTCGAAAAGTTATATTAATATTAAACAACTGCTACAGCATCTGTTTCTCGAAGTAATTCTCCTCGCAAAAGTTCAATTCTCCGCCGATAAAATAAAACAAAACCACAATATCAACTCGAATACGGTGGTCATTACTTTTGCGTAAATCTAATATATTCGTAAAGAACACGCTATTTTCATGGGGAGAATAGTAGGAGCATGGGCGACGTAGTCAGGAGGGAGGGCGGGGGGGGGGGTGTCAAATACTGAAACCTCGGATAACTTATCAGTATTGTCCAACGTTGCCCTCTCTTCTGACAACGTTCGTATATTGTATGAAGAGAATATAGAGACCAGGCTATTAATGGAAGACGACGGACAAGTGTTGACAGATAGTCTACACTTTGATATTATAACTCGTGACATCAAAATACTGCGTGTACACACTTGGATCATATCAATCCTTTTGATTTTGATATTTGTTTTCATCATCAGTGTTCTTGCGTTAGTGATAGAGTTGAGGGGATTTGAGAGCACACTGACACCTGTGTGTATTCATCTATGCGACGAGTCTCTTTGTAAATAATATGGAACCTGGAACCCAGCCGGTTGAGAGAGGGGTATGGAGACCCGAAATTGTGCATATCCCAAGCGCGGACGATTTCAAAACCGTGTTCTGCTCTCCTCTACACGTGGTTGGGTCTAACTGTACAGCTTTAGACCAGTTTCCACATGGAATGGACAGGCCGAAGGCCGCATACTCACGTTCTGTGACATTTACGGGGTGGAATACGCAATCTCGCATGTTACCACTCGCGATTAACGCACGTGACGATGTATCTATGTCATTGCCGACGGAGGACGAGGAACACCCACAGAAACAGTTTATGTTCCGAAAGGAGGCCATTAGGTATATGACATCTAAACCTGGCCTGTTCTCGGTGCGCGACATTTCTGCTGTCAAGTCTGGCAAGATGCACTTCACATGTGAAAAATACCTAATTAAGACTGATACATTAAGGAAAAGGTACGGACATCAATACCTTAAGATAGTGGACGGGTGTGTCGAATCTGACACCTTATCATGTGCATCATCTTACGAACGTTTACATATATATGACGATGTGGTGCACACCACAAGTTCTTCGAAGGATGACCTACAGCCCGATGCACCCGTTCCTCCGTCTGGAAAAAACGTAGAGAAACCATGGTCCGCTGCGTCCGTAAAGGTCCCTATTAGGGCAATGTCTATGGTGAACACCTTACACCAAAATGAGGCAGCAAAACAGCCAGCGTGGTCTGCTGTCGCCACAACGTTGTTGAATAGATTCAACGTTAGGGATGTAATGAACAGCACTCTTGCTCCTGCTGTCAGGGGTATGCAGGTGAGAGAAATATCAGCTGTGTCGTATGTGTTATCCACGGTAGGTAACTCAAATGCATCTTGGATAGACACTGCGCCTCTATTGAAGGGGCTATTATACGCATATCCTTCTTCACCTCATGCGTTTGTCCTCGACAAGGTGAGCGCACAGTTTATCAGAGGTGTTTCCAAGACGGACTCACAGTCATTCAAGTTGTACTGGACAGCCTTGGGTGCCTCGGATGTGTCAAGACATGTTGTGAGGGTTATGGCTGCTACCTTGCCCGCGTTTGTTGACATCGCTCGAGGGGCTGATCCTTATTTCAACGACAATCAGAATGTCAAATATTTCCAAACTGACCATATGGACTCGACTTGGACGGCCATTCCCATCACTACTCACATGTTGGGTGTCCCCTGGCTCCTGGAGTATGTGATGATGCATTTACCAACTTGTGCGTGGGCTGGCAGATCTAACTATGTTTGGAGATCCTTATACGACCACTATCCGACTAAGACCTTCACGAACAAGCTGAATGTACAAACTTCCGCTATTCCCGCTGCCCATAACGTCATGATCGGTGGATTTCTTAACATCATGCTCGTGTGCGTGGATGAAACGTCAACGTGCAACGCTGGATTCCTTGACCTGTCTGGCGCCGCCGCTCTCAGAGTGTATGTTGGAGGGCGGAAGCGAGCTCACGAGGTGGAGGAGGTTCTTGCTTGTATCTCAGACATCACGACCTCTGTAATGCATAGGACCACCACTGAGGGGTATAGGGCTTCAGCTACTAACATGTGTGCTGCAGTTGACTGTGTTGGAAAGCTGCTGCCTCAGGACGGCGCTATGCGCATGGCGGTTTCACTTGCTGCAGAGTTGAGTTCCGTGATGTTTGTTAATCCGTACCTTGAGGTTAATGAGATGACTCATCAGTACGGTAACGAGTTATTGGGCGCTTGGACTTTTGGGGGCGGGCGGCTTCCGGACGGAGAGCTGACCACAAAGGATGCTTGGGAGGGCACTGAGACGGAGCGCACCAACAGGCTCTGTTCTATGTTTCATGGCTTCAACTTCTCATCCCTGTCTCCATGTGGGTTCATATGGCCACTTCATACGTAAAGACACGCTCTGTAGACTTGTATGATGATAACACCAAAGGCACCAAGAACTTCGTGTCTACTGTTGTAGCATGGGAGAGCTCGTTTGTGAGTCCTCTGAGTGTTGGGTATCGAGCGCATGTAGCGACATCCTACTACAGGGTTTTGATAGGTATGAACATGATGGAGTCGGAAGAGTTCGGATATGTCATACTTAACATCCCCGGTCTGCAATCCACAATAACCATGCAGGCTATGGCACTCACACTGTCCTTGGGACGTATGCTCACCTTCAACGGTTTTGGACTACGTATGTGGACTGGATTTGACATGAGGAGTCAGTATCACGCCGCATATCCTTTTTCTGGTATTATCGGCGATTTGACATACAACTCTGTCATTTATGTTGATCCAACAATTCTCTCTGCCATAGCTGGAGTGGACATCGATGTATCCATCTACTACGCGGGCGCTAGTTGGGAAGACGACACCTGGGCATTCCATCTACCTATCCCGTATTGGATTTTGTCTGCTTCGAATGCTCACTTCGACACAGTAATGTCTCGCAATTTCATTTAGCGTTATGAGTCCGCATCTCGCTCATTACAGAGGTACTTCACTTGCATTGAAAACAGCACAATATCTGGACAACACCTCGCATCTGGCACGTTAGATTATAAGTCATCTAGACCCATAACTTTGGTGACAATTGGGTCAATATTCTTAGTGTATATGCCTCTTTCAGTTGACCAATGGTCATGGTTATCTACTAGGGCTTGGGCACATATAGCTAACCCAGGCCACATAACATCTTCCGCGATGTTGTTGTCAGTACGGTTCCACTTCGTACAGCCACATAACGACAACATAATTCGCATAGATAATTTTATGATTTTTGGTAACTCAGCGACTGGTTTGGTTGATGTTCCTATGCTTAGGTATCCCGACCCAAAACCTTTTTTATCCAAGGGCCCACAACATCTACAAACTGTTGTTTCCCCCCCCCCCCTGGATGGAAAAAGTGGCTTTTGCCCCACTGTACAAGAAAACAAATTGGATTTTGCCCCCTCCCTTCCTAGAGTTACAAAATTTTTGCATAATATTTAATATTGCAGTATAATTTGAAACACGACTAACAGCCTGTATTAATAAAACGCATACATTTTCAATGATTTATAACTTTCAAAACAAAATAAAGTGTGTCTGGCTACGTACAGCCTTTTTCACTATGGCAGTCGATGTGTTAATATTTTTGCTCCCCCCTGACTGATAACCTGGCTATGCCCATGAGTAGGAGAAATTACTTGGAAATATATGAAACTAATCGAAAAGACAGAAAAAAAACTCCAACAAAATAAAGTTTCGTTCTTTTAACTATTGTTTGCTACGATATAATCTACGAACTCATTTCTCGTAAACGCATCTTCCCAAACTTTTGAATCGGAGAGTGCGCGTATGTGTAAAACTACACTGTACCTGTCGCTAGAGTTTATTAGACGAAGAATGCACGGAAATTTGTAAAGCTTTGATGCCTCAAAAAATAGTTGTGATTATGCACAATATACAAAATACACTTGATTATGCATCATTAATAAACACTGAAATCAAATTTCAACTTTTGCTACGCCAAAGAGCAAGTGATATTTTAATTTTCATCTCTCGACGACGTTGTTCTAATCACGAATCTAGTAGACGATATAGATTCGTGGAAATCGCTTGTAAATATAAGTTAATATTACGACTTTCATTTATTTATTCACAAAGGACACTTAAACGGTAGAAGTATAACGAGTGTCTGCTTAATTGTACTCAGCGTTCTCTTTTGTAGTATTTAATTGGAAACTTTTTCTTAAGCAGAAAAGCTGCTCTACTTCTCATTCTTTGGATGCTTCGTAATTGTTGTAACATTCCTGCAGGGAAAATAACTTGTTTGCACTTTCCTCTTGTCATTCGTTCGTGAAACAGGCTTAAAAAATAAATTCAACAGGTTTTCAAACTATTTCCATCGATTACCCTGTCACTTTTCCGCTGAAGAATTTCTGTCGATTTATTAATCGTCGATAATTACGAGGAAACTTTATTCCTTACTCTGTCCGTTTCACCATGTCGGTCATTCACAAAGGCCACTTTTGAAAGGGAGACAATGAAAATTCCGTTCATTAAGACCACTTTTATACATTATTTACTGTAGCATTAACATCCCTCTGCAAATTGATTTTTGTAACCCTTCCACAAACGTCTTGTGATAATAGCTGTTTCTTAATTCCTTCCGTCGTCATTTACTAAACTTTCTTAAATAACATCCAATAATTCCCACTTCTCCTACAATTATTTATTCCTCAATCTTCCAGTGAGTCACCTTTCATTGAACAACTAGTGTTACACCCCAAGTTCCAAATATCTCGCAGTTCTTTAAAGAATTCATTCTTTCTGTTTCTGTTACTCATTCCACGAGCATTCGACCACGAAGGACACTTCGAAAGTAAATCAACGCAATGCGAATGCCATCGATTGTATGGAGTTAGTAATTCACAATCCATTGAAGAACGCTCGTGTCACTTCCGCCGGTAGAAATTAGTCGTGTATCATCTTGGAGGAACGACACGTTCGTAACGTGACTCGAGTGGCCGCCATACGTGTGGCAGAGAGACTGAAACAGATAAATTTCGTTTATTCTAAACACGGTCTTGAATCAGGGATCGCTTGTTTCGGCGATAGTGGCGATATTTCGATCGGACGAGGCATGAATATCGTGGAAATGAGAATGCCTTGCTGCAGACCAAAGGGTGTCTCATAATGCGTCGTACAGTAAGTTGGGGTAACTTTGACTCACAGGGTGACTTTCTTCCAGGTCAAAACATGATCTTTTTTTATTTTACAGCTCTGCAAATTATTAAATTAAGTTGATTATTACGTGAAAAGATATTTCACGAAAAAAGACCTGTGTAAGAGCTGCAAAATCGAAAATGATCATTTCCTCACTGTAGGACATAGTTACCCCCGACAGAGTCAAAATTACCCCAATATTAGTATTTATTTGAGAGATGGGTTCCGTATGGAGCACTTTAATGACCGATCAAATATTAACCCCTTTGCTACGACAGCGTCGTAAAACGAAAATATAACTTTCGAAGAATAAAAGCAAAATATTACACAAAAACATTATTTATTTGAAATGATATAATATCATTATTCTAAACTTTGCATTCAATGGGTCACGGATGCTGGTTACAACTGACATTAGTTATCCACGGATTACTTCGGGGTTGACGACTATAGCCGTAGTTATGAACGAAGGTTTAATATACACCTTTATGAAACTCACATTAACTGCCGATTGAGTACTATTGCTCATTTCAATCATAACGCAAATCAAAACCGTGTTACATTTCGTTCAGATTCTTTTATGTTTTTGTTTGGTATACACGGTGTTAATAAAAGTTCAGGACATTTTCTCAGAGTGGATTTTAGATGCCAAACTATGATAAAAATAAAAAATGACGAAAAAAATAAAAATACGAAATTATATGGATCTTTTTGGTGATAAAAATATCAAATAAAGTTCGTAAATAAATTGTTCCATAATTTTGTCGTACGGCTCTGGTAGAAAGAGCAGACAAATTTCCTTTATACCATTACCACTAACCGTACCGACCACCGGTCAAATGACCGGTTTTAAATACGGTACAAATAGGTATATAAAAGTCTCAGTACGGTTACTGTTAATTAGCCCAACCCTGTTTGCTTATATACTCTAAGCCCTGTAGCCAACGCGTCAGTTTATTGTGAGAAGTCATAGTTGGAACTTTGTGCCATGGCGACTCTCACAAAACACGAGTTTCGAGTGTTTATTTATTACGTACCACCTTAGCAGTTTCAGACTTAAACTTTTCAGCATTTTCTTCGGCCACTACAATGTGCACAACTTTTTTACTCACAAGTGCTTAGAAATAATCGAATGCAGTGTTTCTATAAGAATGTAAAGAGTCTCCTCTAATTGCCTATACCCGATTCTTTTATTCATTCTGATTGCCTATACGCGATTTTCCTATTCATTCTAATTGCTCTTTCAACAACATTAACATTTTCTGGAGTAACAACGTCTTCCGGGAGTCCTGTGTGTGCTTCGCTGTCGAAAACGAAAACTTGTCGTTGGGATTGAATTCTGAGAGAAAGACAATTCTCGCCAAATGGTTCACACATTTCTGTGAAACATTCTTCCTCAATTAAACTACACGAAAAGTTGAGTCTTGTGAGAGTCGTCATGGTACAACGTTTTAACAACGATTTCTTACGGTAAACTGACGCGTTTACTACAGAGCTTAGGGTACATACCTGTAACGGGTCGGACTATTCAACGGAACAAAGGAAATTGTTCTGTTCTTTCTACCAGGGCCGTGCGATAAAACTTACGGAACAACCTATGTATAATAAACCTATATATATATATATATATAGGTTTATTATACATAGGTTGTATCACATTTAATCTTGTTTTCGAGTTGTAGACAATTTCGAGGTGTTATCACTGTTTTTACAAACTGACAATAATTTAATACTGCTATTTACATTTAACTGCCATTACGCATTGTCGACCAGACGCCAGCAACCAGGTCGTCAGTAACCACTGGGTTCAAGAGAATATGTGAACTCATACGCACTTCACCACGTACCACGTCTACCGTCGACCAAATCGCTAGCGACTGGTCGGCAGAGCGTAAAGGCTTTACTGTATTTAAATTAATTGGATTTTTACTTCTGAGCATATTTAAAATCCATTGTTTATAGAAGACTTATTAAAAATATTGAAATACTTTGTTACAAAATAAAAATTCATAACAAACTGTTTTAGAGTATCAATTAAATGTCCTTCGTTACTTAAGAATTTGAGTACAACCAATTACCTTGGATTGACAAGCTGGATATGAAAATAGTTTAACTTTGCCGAAATCATCTCCAGTTGCCAGCAGCTTCGAATCCCCGCTGCGAGAACAATTATTTATATCTGTGCCATCCGCGCCTTCCGGCCAAATTCCAATCGTTTCGAAAGATATAATACATGTATGAGTTGCCCATTCTACATCCCTCAACATCGACGACTGTGGGATTTGACGGCAGACTCCAGGATTCCCTGCGCAATTTCAAAATTATATAATAAAGTCCGTGTCATTACAATAATTTAGTTAGCAGATTTATTTGTATACACATGGTCTGACTACGCGAGATAGACATCGCGCGATCTAAACATTTCATCCCGGTCAATGACATAAAAAAGTCAGACCTGGCAACCCGTGTGGAACACCGGAGAGAGATACATTGCTGGGTCTCGCAGAGGTCAGTCCTCGGACCGCTCCCTTGGGACCTAGAGCATGACGCGGTACTGCAGGCTGTCCTGGCTGCCGACGTAAGTGCTGTCTGTTATGCAAACGATACTCTAGTGTTCGCCAGCGAAGAGGACTGGAGAGGGGCCACCCGCCTCGATGAGGCGGGGGTAGCACGCGCGGTGGCGGTGATCTACCGGCTACGGCTACGGGTGTCCCGCATAAAACTGAGGCCATATGGCTGTGTGGCTGGTCTCAGTACGGGGTGCCTATCCGGCCATGTCGATCAAGGTAGTTGGAGCGCAGATTAGTGTAGGGCAAGAGATGAAATATCTGGGTAGCTCGTGGCGCTACAACGCCCACCTGGCCCGTCTGGCTCCGCGGGTGAAAAGGACGGTGGCCGCTTTAGGTCACCTGTTCCTGAACCTAAGGAAGCTCGGGAACAGGGTACGCCATCTATACATACAGGTGGGACGGTCGATAACTCTATACGTCTCGGCGGTTTGTGTGAGAGACGCTGTGGCTCGCTGGTGCAGCAGAATCCTACTACACTGGATGAAACGGATGGCGGCGAGTAGGGGCATGAGAGTATGAGAGGGTACCGCAGAATCTGTTTCAAGGCGGCGACCACTCTGCCGGAAGTAGTGCCACTTCAAATCCAGGCGTAACAATCCGCGGAGGTCTATAATGACTGCTGTGAACTCCGACATGGGAGGGGGGAGGGCATGGTTTCAACGAAGGGGGCAGTCTAAGATGTGCGGCGCCAGGCTCGAGACTAGACTGGTCTAGAGACTTGGTGGGACAAAAGCTGGGGAAGGATCATCTATCGTGTAACGAAGGTGTTCACCGGACATGGGTTTTTCGGTGAGTAACTTTGTCCCATAGGGAAGGAAGCGACAGCGCAGTGTTACCACTATGGAGATGCACAGGACACGGCGCAGCACACGCTGAAATCCTGCCTAACGTGGGCAAGAGAGTGCCGTGTCGTGGGACAAGAAGTCGTGGAACCTAGTTGCCTCCTTCTACGATCAAATTATGTTGTAGGAGGAGGTGGCGGGACGAAATGTGCAGAGAGCCGATGCAGCCCACTTTGTTCACATGGTTCCACTTTGTGCAAGGCGACTGCTAGCGGAGATAAGCGAAGGAGCTTCTGCCCCCCCCCCCCAGTGGCTCCAGACAAGCGCCGGGGCCATGGGCGCGACGAGTGGAGTCTCACTTTGCCAGCAATAGGCAGCCCAGAGGAGAAGTGGTATTGGGGCGTGGCCCTCGGAAACCACCGAGCAACGAAGCTCCGGGGGAGGTGGGAGCCTTGTGTAGCCTATTATCCTCTACAAGGATTCCCTGTGCCCCCCTCTAGCGAGTCGAAGTTGTCCACGGTGGAGTTTCTAGTCGATGAAAGTCCGGCACAGCCTCAGTCTCCCCTCTAGAGGCAGATCCATATATGTGCAACAGCGGGCACGAACACGCGCAATGCGGCGCGCACCCAGAATCCCGTCCACACTTCAGGGGGGAGACTCACACAATCAACGGGAACCGTGTATGTATATACGATGCACAAGAGAGACATTCGATTTCGTAGGAACCAAAATGAGCCTCGACAATTGCACAAATGTACTTTTCATGGGTATAGAACTCACGGGTAGACTGCCCTACAGGGTGGTCTGATCCGTATAACCACCAATAAACACATTTTAATTGAAAGAATTAGAATTTTAGAAAGTGTGCGATTGTGACAGACGCCGATGAAAACACACAAGATGGCTGCACAAGTCACATATTGTCAAATATCTCACGATTTAATGGTTTTTTCGTCAAAAGCAGAGCAGACCACCCTGTACACTACTATCACACTATCGTGGAAATTCCATTTGAGTCATTTTATCACTTCTGGAAGGCACATTTTGGTTCCTACGATTTGACGCGTCCAGACGCAGAAATAAACAGTGGTATAGTTCAAGGATTCTCCGCTAGAGGCGTTTATAGTATTTGTCAGCCACTTTGGCCTGCGTTACCACGAGCATCGATCAAACAGAGGGAGTCGGTAAAGTAACCTCGCAACACGTGGTGGATCGTTTCGATTGTCTTGTTACGCTGTTGCCACATGACAATTCTGCCCGCCAGGAGAATGATGGAACACCTACAGCCTACGGCTCGTGGCGAGATTTCTATTCTCGCCGAACGTAGGAAAAGAACGGCGCGAGGGAAAGAAATCCGAGAATTAAACAATACGTACTAATGTTTGCAAGGATGAATCTTCTTATTCGTACTTGCAATGATGCTAATTTTTTTCATTAATGAAATTACATACGAGATACTTGACATGATATTCTCGAGAAACAAATTGTAAAAATGGCACAATATATATTCCGGGTATTCCACATACGAAAAACATGGAATACTACACAAATCTCTTGTTGGAAATGATTATTATTTATTTTTTATTGACATAATTGACGCAGGTGTTATATACTTACACAAATATTTCATAAAAGAGACACAAAAGGAACACAATTAATCGCATACGCTCTATCAATCTTTCATTCGTCGCCCAGCGGAGATAGATTTTGTACTAACAACTGATTGCTGTCGCATGCGTACTTAGCGTATCATCTTCGCTGCGTCCGCACCTGTTCCAATACGTACTTTTTTTTTAAAATTGGACCAAACGACTTGAGTTTTTTTGAGAAGCTAGAAGGATTAACTTATTAGATGACATGTTTTCATTATTTCGAAAAAACTACAATTATTGGAATAACGAAGAAAATAGTACAAATATTAAAGAAGTTCTTTTTTCATTTCTTTTTTATGATCCTATAGTGAAAATTTAACAAATACCTCTTATACACTTAATTAAGATACATATACGCTGAAAATTGCAGGGTATAAGCTACAAACTATTAAAACTGGTTAGACTTACAAATCAGAGTTACAAATATGTTACAAAACTAAAAAACTTGTACTTTCGACTTATAAACCTTAAGATATTTTACTACTTCGGTGCCCGTAGCTTGTTTGTTTTGACCGACGAATTTTGTTATGACTGGGCCCGATAATGGTGGCCTGACCTAGGTCACTCTGAAAGTCACCATCGGGTGCGGATCGAAAACGAAGAGACAGGAATACTGTTTCCTTGGACGTCGACTAGAATGGTCATAAAACCAGCTTCCGATTTCACTATTGTTATTAAGCAGAATTATTGATATACATAAATACATAGATAGAGATGATATACTTAGTTATAATAATAAAGAAACTGTAACATCATAGCTTCACTTTTCTTTTTCTTAGATATATAAGTGTACAAGAGGCACATTTCAAATGTTCATTATACGCTAAGATAAAAAAGTTGAAAAAACTGTCTGTTACTATTTTTGTGCGTGTTTTGTCAAACATTTTCCTATACATTGTGAAACAACTAATTGCAATTAAATCATTAAAACTTAGTTATCTAGACTAATCCTTAACTTCTCATAAACATTCAAATCACTTTATGGATAACTAGCTGACGTACCCGCTCTCGCGCGGGCAGTTTTATATTGTAAATCATATTTTAGTTCGTATATACAGACTAGACTGTAATATACCGTGAATAAATAAGCAGCATGCAATTTTGGATAGTGCAATATGAATCACATCGATTCGCGGCCTTTTGAACATTTTTGTCTGCCTCAGCTCATCGTTTGCTAAAGAACATTGTCGCTTGACTGTTCCTTCGACTAACTTTGGTCAGCAGGAATAAAGGGGCTGTTGAGCGCCGGGCGAGAGGCTAGCGACCGACGATCGAAATACAATGTAAACAGATAAGGAATGAAACGCATGAATGAAAATTTAATCTTTTATAGTTTTCAGTGTACATTCATTAAAGTGTCACGAATGAAGTGAGGAGATTCTGCCGGTGGAAATGAGTCCTAATACGACATCATTCGGATTATTTTCAATAATATATCATTTTCATCCGTAACATTACGTATGAGTAACAATTGTTCAATTACACTCGAATTTGGACGCATTTTAATCGGGAGAATCTCTTCAATTCATTTGTGACATTTTCATTAACACGTTGAGCCCGGCGCCGGTCCCTGGGGACCGGCAGTGAACTTTCCGTGTGGCCGGCGTCGGTCCCTGGGGACCGGCACTGGAATTTTCGTTTGGCTGGCGTCGGTCCGTGGGACCGACAGTATTAAAGTTAAAAAATAAATATAGTCTGAATAAAATGTGGTCAAATGTAGTTTTAATGAAATTTATTGAAACATTCTAAACAAAAATACGGCTTAGCTTTACACATATTACAATACGTAACAACTTTTTTGGTCACATTTTTGGCTATCTTGCGTCCAAATAGTTTTGAATTGTCATCATAACATTTCAAAGGCGTGCCGCCGTTAACATTCGCGACCACGAGCTTTGTCACGCACAGGCAGGGCTTGTATGTCGGTAGCCGACAACGCTCACTAGCAGATAAGCTCTACTCAGTGCGTGAAGTCGCGGATCACCCTGCAACATTGCACCGCTTGATCGCTCGCTGCCGGCTGAATGGAAAGGACAGCAAATTCGGCGCCGAGCTCAACGTGTTAATATATATTGCAAATTGTAAAAGTTTAAATTTTCATTCGTGCGTCATTCCTTATCTCATCTATGTCTGTTTACATTGTATGCCGATGGTCGGTCGCTGGCCTTGGACGTTTGGCGAGAATCCAAATCTCGCCACGAACCATAGGCCGTAGCTTTTCCATCGTTTTCGTGACGGTCAGAAATGCGGGACATGAGGCAACAGCGTCAGAAAAATGATACTGTCCGGCAATACTGTCTT